CCTGGGCCCGGTCCTGGGCCCGCCCGGGCCCGCGTTGCGGGGCCGCCCCTCACGCATCCTCCTCCTCGCAGTAGAGCCAAGACGCCGCGGAGGCCGGCGCTGAAGAAACCGTCTAGCCCCAGCCTGAAGGATCCCGTGGGGGTGAGTGCTGGGCCGCTGGGTCCCGCCGAGGTGGAGGGGAGGCGGCCCGGTGGGGCTGGGCTCGCTGCCGCCCTTCGGGGCTGCTCCGAGGGATGATGGCCCCTGTGTGTGTCCCTCCCCAGGTGTACTGCAGGGTGCGGCCGCTCAGCTGGCCCGACCAGGAGTGCTGCATCGAGGTGATCAACGAGACCACAGTGCAGATCCACCCGCCCGAGGGATACAGGATATTCCGCAACGGAGAGTACCGGGAGGTAACGGCTTGGGGGGGGCAGTGGGGAGATCCGTGCCTTTGCCTTCCGCCTTGGGGCTGTGCCTAGCTCAAGGCGCTGCTCGGAATTGGGGGCCGAGGTCATTTTCCCGGCTGTTGAGGTTTTCCATTGGTTTGTGGTGTGGCGTGCAACATGCGAATCGGCAGCTTGTGATTTTAGAAAAGCGAGTTTTCAAACCCAGAAAACCATGTAGAGCAAAAATGCATCGTTTCCTTAGCCATTAAATAGATTCTCCTTATACAAAAAGGCTGCTTCTGTAGGGTGCAGGAGGAGGGTAAAAGGAACAAAAGCGCAGCTAGCAAATATTTAGACTGCTTAAAGGACTTTTTCATGTAGGACTAATTGAAAGAAACCAGCTCTAAGCTAAACCAGACACATATGAATTAATGGTTTATCCCAAACTTAAGCTGGACGAAAAGCAACATTTCCCTGTTTATAGCATAGGGAGGACAGGAGTGAAGCTGTAGGTTATGTACACAAAGCAGTGAAATGTCCTGAAGTGCGGAAAAGTAGGTAGCAGATCACAGAGCAGTCCACATTGTTACTTGATCAATACAAATGTTTTCTAGAAAAAGAGGGTTTAGATTGTGTGTACAGAACAAGGAGCCAGAGTTTTGTAGCTGTGAAACAGTTAAGTGCAGATTCCCAATACAGTGGTGTAACTCAAAATGAGACTATGTTATGCTGTTTCTAAAGAAAAAAAAAAGTTAATTGGGATGTAGAATACTTTGTTTCTGATTTCAGTATTGGAAATTCTTATACAAAGTACATAAAGTGCTCTTCAAAGGCTTCAATAAAATAGGCGAAGATTAGTTGAGAGTTTGGTAAACAAAATTTTGCTCAAAAACTTAAAAGTTAAATATTTACCTAAACAAGTGTTTTGATTGAAAAGTGACCAGAATCAACAACAACAAAAAAGTATACCGAAAAGCTGTGCCTGGAGAGTGAGGCTAGATTGGGAAAAAGAGACAAGTTTAAAACAAAATGATTAAATGCTGGAACAACTTTGACTATTGTGGGCACTCCTGTCCTCAGTGCTTGTGTGGATTATGGTGGGAGCTCAAACAAAAATTTGAGCTTGAAGCTGTAAATTGTGAGATTCTCTAATCACTGGGATGCCAGGCTTTGTGATCCTTCTGGTTAGTTCTGGATTTAAGCTCTGCAAAAATGAGACAGTTGCTGCTCTTCATTGTGCACATCTTATTCTTGGAATAGTTACACTGTGTCAAGTGCCCATGTTCAAACACTGGTGTAATCTTAAAGTATAATCTTAAAGCTGCTTTCCACCATCTTCCCAGAGTAAGGTCTGAAGCAAGGAACTTCTGGACAGGAAAACTTAAGGTTTAGGATGGTCTATCTTTTTTTTTTTTTTTTTTTTTGTGTTTGGCACCCTTGTTGTTCAGAAGGAGCTTTTTGATGTGGTGGCTAAACCTCTAGTGGAAGATCTCATTCATGGGAAAAATGGTAAGCAAGTCCTTGTTCTTTCCCTCTTTTCTGTACATCTACCATGCAGTTTCTGATATTGCTTTGGTTTCAAACATGTGTCAAGGTTTCTTAGCTTGTCTAGGTAAAACCATGCGTACCTTGTGTACAGTGAGAGCAGCTGCCCCATACAACAGCCTTGGAAGCTCTTTCTGCCTTTCATTCCTTCTACTGACCTTTGTTATGACCTGCATGTTACTTGTGTCAGGGTCTAATCTTTTTATACACCATTAACTGGAGGAGCTTTTTTTTTTTCCTGCGGAAAGGGATGACTTATCCACCTAAAGATTGACCACAGAAAGCAGTTTGTAGGGCTTGATCTCTTGGGCATGGTTTGATATCACGGTGCTGGTCCTTGAAGTATCTGGCTTATGTCAGACTCCTCAGTAACCAGCATAACAACTCAACCCTCTGCCCCTGGGACTTAGTGGCATCCTTCCGTTTTGGCTTCCAAATGCACCCTTCTCCGGGGGGATGGTAGTGACTGTCAGCTGTAGGTGAAGTGACTGTCAGTGAGAGATGTAAATGCTAGTTTACAAAATCATCTCAGTTGGAAAAGACCTTGAAGATCATCCAGTCCAACCATTAACCTCACCCTGACTGTTCTCAACTCCACCAGATCCCTCAGTGCTGAGTCAACCCGACTCTTCAACCCCTCCAGGGATGGGGACTCCCCACCCCCCCTGCCCTGGGCAGCCCATTCCAACGCCCAACAACCCCTTCTGGAAAGAAATACTTCCTAAGAGCCAGTCTGACCCTGCCCTGGCGCAGCTTGTGCCCATTCCCTCTTGTCCTGTCGCTTGTTCCTTGGTTCAAGAGACTCATCCCCCCTCTTTCCGCACCCTCCTGTCAGGGAGTTGCAGAGGGCCAGGAGGTCTCCCCTCAGCCTCCTCTAGACTAAACCCCCCCAGTTCCCTCAGCCACTCCCCATCAGACCTGTGCTCCAGACCCTGCACCAGCTTCATGGCCCTTCTAGTTTTGACAGTGGCTTTTGATGGGCTGGAATAGTTTACAGTTAACTGTTCAACAGGAGTTGTTATTCTTTCTGAATACATTTACCCTGGGAAAGGCAGAGCCTGTGATTAGAACTGAGCTGGTTTTTGGGATGCAAGCATAACTTACAACATTAAGTAACTTTCCTGTCCCTCCTAGGTCTCCTTTTTACCTATGGTGTGACCGGCAGCGGGAAAACACACACCATGACAGGATCTCCTGGTGATGGAGGACTTCTCCCACGGTGTTTGGATATGATCTTCAACAGCATAGGCCCATTCCAGGCCAAGCGATTTGTGAGTAGTGTGGCACTGAATTCTTCACATCGTTGCTTGTAACAGCCGAAAAACTCTAGAGAAATATGTTCTGTTCAAAGTGTGTATCTTGTGTCTAGACACGTGACTGGAGCACTTTATTAAGTAAACCAGCCAAGAAAACCCCCATTCCCATGAGATCTGAAGAGCAGGGCCAAGGAGAGAGGGGTAGTAGCTTGGACGGGCATTTCATGAAGGTGTATGGCTAGTCCTATAATTGTTGCTCATTCTTTAACTTCTTTAAAACAGTAAAAAAGGAAAGAGTAAGCTTTCTGTGTTATGGAATGAAACCCTGCCACAAGATACAAAAGCCACAGGAAACCATATCTAAAGTAATATAGGACACGATGTGAGGCTTTTCTTGTGGTCAGGCACCTCTGGATTTTTGGTATCTAAATAATTTTAAATGATACTGGAAATCTTTTCCTTGTTATCACGCTAGCTTGGGAGCTTTTATGAAATATGGCTATTTTAGAAATATCTGTTTTCTGTCAGATCTGCTTCACATTATCGAGCAGATCGAGTGTTAGTGAGGGGCATGGTATTTGCTGGTTGCTAGACAGCTTGATCAAATAATTTGTTTTCCTGGCCAACGCCTTATGTTCTCTAGTGTTTGTCATTATATTGTCTAAACATATTCATTGCTCAGGTTTTTAAGCTTGATGACAGGAACGGTGTGGATGTTCAGTGTAAAGTAGATGCTCTATTAGAGCGCCAGAAAAGAGATGCCATGCCTGTTCCAAAAACTCCATCTGGCAAGTAAGTAACTATTGTAACATGCAGAACAAATTTAGTTAATAGAAATGTTACTCTGTTATTGTGGTTTTAACTTACCTAGGTCTCTTTATCCTCTGCTTGAAAAAATGAAAGAAAAACATTAATGGAAAGTTAGTATACTTTATGTGGTTTTAGCAATTGCATAATTAAGTATTTTGATTGGACGACTTAGAATCAGGCAACAGAGTCTATTTTTACTGTTAACCCGTCAAATGCTATGTCTTTGCTGGTAGGAATACCGTCAAGTTAAACTTGGGGATATTTTGCAAAATATTGAGATTGCTGAATGGAGGATAGAAATGTTGACTGTCTGGGAATTTTGTGAGGCATTTCTTCCTGCAGCTGAGTACAGCAGTGTTGGGTGAAAGTTTATCTAATTAAAACTTTTCAGAGTGCTTCTTTTAATGTAATGTGACAGGGTGTGTTGTCAGTAGTTGCTAGTGTGAGCACTCCCATACTCAGATCACGCTCCCTGTCAGTAGATTTGCTGTTTAACTGTAGAGTCGCTGTCTGAGATGTTAGCTGGCTGTGGATACTCCACTACAATCCCTTATTGTCTGTTCAACAGGCGACAAGTAGATCCAGAATTTGCTGATATGATCAACATGCAAGATCACTGCAAAGTAGAAGAAGTTGATGAAGATAATGTCTACAGTGTCTTTGTGTCCTATATTGAGATCTACAACAACTACATATATGACCTCTTGGAGGAAGCTCCCTTTGAGCCTATAAAACCAAAGTTAGTCTTATAAAAACTATTACTCCTACTTCAATTACTCTTCTGTGAGAACTACAATTTGTCTTTTTAGCTGTAGTCTTGGCGAGTCTGGCTCAATTAATGAGAATCACTTAAAAAAAATCATGAGAAAAAAGGTGATGGCAAAGGAGTCCAGACAATAGTGTTTGTGTGCCGTGTACTGATAGTTGTTCTGTTGCTGCTAAGACTTGGTGTTCCCTTCCTTATTATGATGGGAGATTAATAAGCAAATATTTAATTTGTTAGGCAGTGTTGTATCCCACTGGGGTTCTAAGTCTGTTCACACTGTTCTGTGAGGACTGTTCCTAGCAGGAGACTGCAGCTTGAAGAGTCAGCCCTTCCATGACTAACACATTTTTCCCTGGGAACAGTGTATTGGGCAAAAGTTGTTATTTTGTTGTTGATTTACCATTAGTGCAAGTTTGCATATTATTTGACTTGATGTCAGTAATTTCCATAAAAACAAACTATCTGTCTCATAAATGAAATTCTGGGTATTTTCTGGAAAGAAGGGTACTTAGCTGATGTCTACAGTGAGTAAGTCTTGAGACAGTCAGAAAAAAGTCTGCAACTTATTAAATAATTCTTTTAATTTTAAAATTTGAAATCCATTAAAGAAAACCCTATGCTTGTCCATTGCTACCTGTGTTAATTAAAGAGTTGGCTGATTAACAAAGGCTGACTAGAGCAAAACATGCTATGTCTCTGAAACAGCAAGAACCGTCTCCAGGGTACTGATTTGAAAAGGGTTTGAGTGTCTGTAAATGTTTTTTAAAGAAGAATAAAATAATTTGGTTTAGTGTTGTGCTTATGTCCAAAAATCAGCCTATGAGAATTTTGGATTATTTCTATTTATGGAAGCTACAGTCTATTACATGTGGAAAGATTTTTAGGCACAAGCTGAATGACTTAATATTTTTTTAACCCTGTTTTTTTGCTAGGTGGAACAATTGCAACACTCCTGTGAGAAATGGTGACTTTATGTATGTGCATAAGCATATTATTCCTGATACTGGAAAGTGAAATTTTTTCTTTTAGTAGAAGCAGAAAATAAACTCAGACTGACTCCCTATCTCTTCTTGCTTTACTAGTGAATATAGGATGCTGTTGAAGCCATCTTGCTTCTGTATGCATGTAGAAAAACAATAGCTGCCATCCAAACTGATGATTTCCAGTAAGAATTGCAATTAAACGTAGCTTCTAAATTAAAGCAGTAGCTGAAGTGTAACTAATCTTGGCCGAATGTGTGTCCATGTACTTGTACTACTTCTTCCATCTGCTGTATGGATAATTGACATATTCAGTCTGAATTTTGTAGTTAAACAAAAGAGAATTTGCATGACAGTGCATAAAAATCCACTCAAATTTAGTGTTTTTTTGTTTTATTTCCTCCCTGTCCTTAAGACCTCCACAATCCAAAATCCTTCGTGAGGACCAGAATCACAACATGTATGTCACAGGATGCACAGAAGTAGAGGTGAAATCTGCAGAAGAAGCTTTTGAAGTGTTTTGGAGAGGTACATCTTTAAAATATAACTTTTTAAATTCAGTACAGATGTGTCAGCCTTTACACTATCACGCTGAACACAGAGTTGGCTTTGCCAGGTGGCGAGTCTGTTAAATGAAAGAGATTTTTGGAGGGATTTTTTTTGTTCTGTACAGGTCAAAAGAAGAGGCACATTGCAAACACTCAGCTGAACCGAGAATCCAGTCGCTCTCACAGTGTCTATATTATCAAGTTGGCTCAAGCCCCCCTGGATGCAGATGGAGATAACGTGCTGCAGGTGAATTCCAGGGTGGGCTCCTAAAGGAAAACTTGAGGGCATGTAGGTGTGAATAGTGTGATAGAAAAGGTGGTGAACCTTGGAGCATGGCTTACTGAAACAGTTACCGTGTCTTGAGTGGTAGTGATTCCATTTTGAAGAAATCAAAATTAATTTTTCAGTCTTTGACAGAATTAGTCTCCTTTTTGTAACAAAAGTAGAGCGTTAAAATGGAGTGCGAAGCTGCTTGTTCCTTTGGATTTTACCTCCGCTTCTTTTGAGCAAAACCTTAATCTAAAACTTTGAGGATTTGAATGGGCATGGTGGTTATACCTATCTTGTGGCCCAAGACAGAAGGGCTCTGCTGAACTTTTTCACAAGAAAAGGTAGTGGTGCACAGCTACTTGTGCTAAGGGCTGTAAAACACCCTCAGACTTCAAAGGTGCAACACACTCTTTAAGTGTGCATGCTGCTTAGGTTTGGGGGTGTGGGGTATGTAGAGCTAATCAACCTAATGTAATTTTGTTTTCTTTAATAGGAGAAAGAACAGATCACTTTAAGCCAGCTGTCATTAGTTGATCTGGCTGGAAGTGAAAGGACTAATAGAACAAAAGCTGAAGGGAACAGGTTGCGAGAAGCAAGTACGTACCAACTTTAGACAGCCTGGTAATTTTAGGTGCCAATATATGCTCATGTTAGTCTTGTCTCCTAGTAAAGGACGATCATGGGAAGATTTGAAGTGTTCTGTTATGAAGTTCTGATTTGATGACCTAAAATCCTCAAGTTTGGAAACCAGAAGGCTTTCCTAACACTTATTCTGATACTTCAGTTAACTGCAGCAGTTATCTGTAACAAATATAACTTAGGTCCAGGCAATTTATTCTTAAGTAAACTGCTAAATAATTTGGGAACACGATCCAAATGGCTGCTTAGAGTTTTGTGTTTTCTTTTTTAAGGTAATATTAATCAGTCTCTAATGACATTAAGAACATGTATTGAAGTTCTGCGGGAAAACCAGATGTATGGAACAAATAAGGTATGCAACCCATTATCTAATTATCTTCTGATTTGATTATGATTTTGTGTAATGAAAGCTTAATAAATCTTTCACATCCTTTATTTTAAGATGGTTCCATACAGAGATTCCAAACTGACTCATCTCTTCAAGAACTATTTTGATGGTGAAGGAAAAGTGCGTATGATTGTGTGTGTTAATCCTAAAGCTGAGGACTACGAGGAAAGCTTGGTAACTTCCTTGCAGATCTTGCCTCCCCTTCTACTCTTCTTTCATGTTTATCAATGAATTCTTGTATTTGCTTGGTAGATGAGAGCAATAATGTGTTTTGTTGCTTAGGCACTTCAGGTAATCAAATATAATATTGCAGGGCAAATATGGCCTTGAAGTCTTATTTTTCCTCTTAAAAATGAGAACTGCTACTTGCCTGTAAAATAGGAAATGTTTCTCTTACCTACACAAGTCCAAATAACTGTGTTTAGGTGCTTAATCCATACTATGATGGTACTTGCTAAAATTTCAGCTGGCTGCACAGTCGTTCCTTGGGGGCTGCAGTCAGGGAGGTGTTTCTGGAAGGTTTCTGGATTGCTTCAGAAGCACACGCTATCTAGCTGGGATCTACTTGAGATTATAGCTTGATAATGTTTCTTCTAATACTTCTATTGACCTTAAAATATCCCTTTTAAACTTAGATTGGTTAGTTTTGTTGCTAAGCTTGGTTTTGTTCATTTGTAGCAAGTCATGCGCTTTGCAGAGATGACCCAGGAGGTTGAAGTGGCAAGACCCGTGGACAGACCGCTCTGCGGCCTGACGCCGGGACGGCGCCTCCGGAACCAGGCCTTCAGAGAGGAGCTCTCGCGGAGGCTGGAGATGCGGGGTGGCCCAATAAATGGAGGTAAAAGCCAGAACACTGGGTGGTTTCTACTGTTAGGAGCTGAAAGCTATTTTAGAACAAACTGAGCCATGGAAGTGCAAAAGGAACTTCACTGAACTGTTAGCTGCAAGCCTTCTCTGCAATAGGTGCTGCTCTCTTCATCCTGCAGTGCTAAACCCAGTTACTGTGCAAGTCACAAAATAATTATTTGTTGCTGGTGATGAGTTGAATTCGTGGTCCCATTATTGCAGCTCCTGGAAGGAAATTGTGCTGAGGAGGATACTTTGATGTTTTTGTATGCTTAGGGCCTACTTTAGAAATCAAAAGTTGCCTGAAGGTGTGATAAAGCAATGAATCGAGAATGTCACATTTAATCTTTTCTCCACACTGTCATCTCTTCTGAAAACTTCTAGTTCTCATTAATTATTCCTAAGTTCTGTCTGCTTCATGGTACTGTGGAATGAATGATCTGTGGCTGTGTGTTGTCAAATGGAATTTTTCCTGTTCTGTAGCTTGCTGACAGACTTTCTTGGCTTTAAATCTTACAGAAACAGAAGAGCAATCTGTTTCAGAAATGTTTTCGCAGAACTTTCCTCCTCTGCCTTCATGTGAGCTATTGGATGTTAATGATGATCAAACACTTCCAAAGCTTATTGAAGTCCTGGAAAAACGCCATAAACTACGACAAATGTTGTCAGAGGAGTTTGCCAAAAACGGTAAGAATTTGAACATCAATGTGGAGCTAGATTTTTGGCGCCCTTATTGCTACTTAAGGGATCTCTTCTGTACCAACATGAAATAAGTATCTGGTCTAGATTGATCATTTTAAAAATACCCCTTTTTCGAGGTAATGAAATAGCTGGCAGTGTTAAATTGGTAGGAGGAAAACAGACCTGGTTTTGACATTATGGATATATGGTGAGAAGATGAAAATATATTGGTTCTCTTGCAGTGCTTGCGTTTAAAACAATGCTGCAAGAATTTGACTCCAGTGTTATGTCCAAGGAAAACTATATTCAGGGAAAACTGTCCGAAAAAGAGAAAACAATATCAGGACAGAAAATGGAGCTAGAACGCCTGGAGAAGAAAATTAAAACTTTGGAATTCAAGGTCAGTTTTTTCATTGTCTAAAGCTAAGCACAAAATGCATTTTCTACGTACCATTTGGCGAGCTTGACATCAGAAGTTGCTTGCAATATGGATGTTAGAAACAAGATTAAAAGTTATTTTGTGAGGAACTTTGAACACTTTTAGCTTTTTTGCTTTCTTATGAGATGAGGCTTTTCTAAATATGTTAAGATGGGCAACTTCTAAGAAAGTTGTAAAATCTCTGGAGCCGTTCTGGAGTGTGGACTGTTTCTCTGGGTATTTGTACAATAGCTAATATATTCTAGTAGATGTTAACAATCAAATATAACTACCAATTCTGGGCTTAGAGGGTTGTGCTTCAAAGAAGCATAGCCAAATCCTTCCTCTCTTCCTCCAGATTGACATTTTAGAAAAAACTGCATTAATTTATGAAGAAGACAAGCGTAATCTTCAGCAAGAACTAGAAAGTAAGAGCCAGAAGTTGCAACGTCAGGCTTCTGACAAGCGTAGGTTGGAGGCACGGTTGCAAGGAATGGTGGCAGAAACAACCATGAAATGGGAGAAGGAGTGTGTAAGTATAGTGCCCTATTTATTAGACGTGTGTAACGGAGCAATGCTGGGGGGTTTGTTTTTGTGAGGGATTTTTATATGGTAGTAGCATTAAGAAGAGATGTGCTTGGCTGTATGGACTTGAACAGATACTTTGAACTTTTATAAATATGTTATGATAAGATAAATTCCTCAAGGAATTTTGGAGCAGCTCTCTTAAACATTGTGTCACTTCATTTCAATATCTAGAATTTGTTCTTTTGGGTTTGTGGCACTCTGAGGAGCGGCTCAAGTATTTGTGCTTTTGTGTGAGGTGCTTCATGCTTCCTTGCTTGCCTCTAGGAGCGTCGTGTAGCAGCAAAGCAGCTGGAGATGCAGAACAAACTTTGGGTGAAAGATGAAAAACTGAAGCAACTGAAGGCCATTGTTACTGAACCAAAAAATGAAAAGCCAGAGAGGCCTTCACGGGAGAGAGACCGAGAGAAGCCTGTTCAGAGATCAGTGTCTCCTCCACCAGTACCTGTAAGTTGCCTCTAAAACACTTCTTGATATAAGGAAAAACACATTTATAAGAATGAATTGAAGTGAAGGCCACTTCCATTCAGTGGCTTGAAAATAATTCCCAAGCACAGAATTTGGATAACTTGAACTTGCTTTGAATTCTTTGTCTCCTGTTGTATTTATCAGTGCTCTTTTTTTTGTGCTCCTACCTTCTAATGCTACTCGTGTTGGAAGAATACCTGTTTCTTAATGGCGTCACTGCAACACAATACCTCTCCAAAACCATGAGCTTGAATGGCTGAATTGGCACTCTGCACATTGTCAGTATTAATTATTTTATTGCCTTATGACTTGACAGTTCTGTGTGTTCACTAACTTCTTTCCTGTTCTCTCTAGCCTTCTAGTAACTTTACTCAAGTCCCTAACAGCCAGCAGCTCGCAAGCAACCTGCAGGAGCACAGACGTTCTAATTCTTGTAGCAGCATTTCTGTGGCATCCTGTGTTATGGAATGGGAGCAGAAAGCCCCTTTGCACAAGCCTACCAGTGGCACTCCTAATGCAAGGAGTAGACAACAAGAACCAGGACAAAGTAGAGGCTGTAACACCTCAGACAGGAGGCGAGGGATGTGCTGGACTGGAGTCGAGGTTCCCAGGCATAGAGATGAGCTAGAAATAGAAGAGGATCAATGCTGCAGGGTTAGTGCTGCTCCTGTCAAAAGCTAAATGTAGCATTGCTTAGTCTGGCTCAAAAGCTCATCATGATGGCTTTTACACTGAGCACACCTAACATATATTTCGGGGCAAACTCCAATCTATTTCTTGTAGGACAGAACTGTGTCCAAATTGAATCTCACTGCTCATTCTCTGACTTCTTGATGTTTAGAAACTCCTTAAAAGCAGTGTGTGTATTTCTTGCTGGTGTGCAGATAGCCTTGTAATGACCTCTGAACTAGCTAGACTTTCTTTAGCTGTGAATGTCCATGTGTTTTAACTTGTGTCTGTCTCCTCAAATCTTGCAGCCTACAATGTACCATAGTCTGTCTGGGCAGCTTAAAAGGTGGTTTTGTGATCCATGTCTGCAAATATCTCCTGGAAGTCTCACTTGTGTGACTTAACTTTAACTCTCTTAGAATAGTCCTCCCTAATTTTCACATCTGAATTAAAACTGGGAGCTTTGCCTACATGTGGGAGACCTTTTTTCTTTTCTTTTTTTTTTTTTTTACTGAACTGATGCGTGCAGATGTTTGTAGCAGTGGTGTCTGTCATGTTATAGTGCTGTCACAGTGGCTCAGGTAAATCGGACAGAATTGTACAACCCTGGCCTCTTGAGAGAGCTTCTGGAGAGGAGGGAAGTTTATCAGGGTGTGGGTCATTTTTTGAGAGTGTTCTCAAAATATCTGTCACTTGCTAGCCCTCTGAAGTCAGGGACATGCTTTTAAGCAAATGCTCTTCCAATTAATTGACGAGCCACAGTCAGCAGAGTAAGGCATGTGGTCTCTGCCACAGTAAAATGTGACCAGTGGTAGCACGCCCTCTCCTTACATCGTAACTTCTAAGGCATCTTAGCAGAATTTTTTCAAAAAAACATCAAAGGAAATAGGTGCATGCCCACCAAAAGGGGGAGAAAGTATTGAAATTCTTTATTTTAATGGAAGATTTTTGCTGAAAGCCCCATTTCCCTCTGTATGTTTAATTGCTAAGAGACTTGTAAGAGGTTTATCTATAAAGGGTACAGCCAATCACTGTGTTTATTGGTCAGAGAAATCCTGATTGATGCTCTTTGCCTGAAAATACAGTGGATGGGATTTGCATTCATGGGCCTGGGTTATGTAACCTCACCATGATTCAGAGGCCTATAAAATTAGCGTGTCAGTGGAACAGAGAGAGTCTAGAAATAATCTTTCAAAAGCCCAGTCAGATGTCTTGAAGAGACCCAGGTTTTTAAACAAGTTTCCAGAATATTCTGATTTTCCTGAGCAACTGGCAATAATATTCATAAAATAAAACCACATGAACCTGAATGATTTTTCGTGGATTTCCAACAACTGAGTTCAGAAGCGATAGCACTAGCACAGAGGATGCTTCCTTTGTGCTAGCTACTCAGATGTGTTATGAGGCCTTGTATTCTTTAGAGGTGTTGGAAATCCATACTTGGTCTGCTTGCTTTGCTACCTCAAAAAATGTGGCTTGGTTCATGAATGTATCTATGGAAACGTAAATTTCTCTTTCTGGTTGGTTAATATGTTTGTGGCAATCTGTTTTGATTTGGAAATGTGGAGGATTACTCAACAAAGAAATCCTTCTTGAGGAAACTTTATTAGGTAGGGAATGCAACAGATTGTTTAACAAGTAAAATTTACCGGAAACAGGAATTGTCTTGGAAATAATTAATTAATAATTTTATGCAAGGTTTCTGGTAATGGTGTCTTTTGGGACATGCTCTGGAAACACTTTAGGATCTCACTCTTTGAGCTTCATACAAACACATCTTAACCAGCCCCGCAAAGTTCACTTCTGCTAATGACACCCTCTGAGAGATTTACTGTGTGCTGATTTCTCCTGATTCTCTTCCGCTCTGATCAGAACATGCCTCCGGTTCGCCTCAGACACCGACGGTCACGCTCAGCTGGGGAGAGATGGGTGGATCACAAACCACCTTCTAACTTGCCCACTGAGACAGTCATGCAGCCGCACGTCCCCCACTCCATCACGGTAGCGGCCGCAAGCGAAAAGGCGCTAGCTAAGTGTGACAAGTATATGCTGACACACCAGGAGCTAGCCTCTGATGGAGAGATTGAAACAAAACTCATTAAGGTAAAGCAAATGCCTTCATTGTAAACTTGTGATAACCCTGTCAGAACCTATTGCTGGCTGTGTACTTGTGCTGCGGGCTTGCTGGCTAGCGAAAGGGTACGTTTGACTCGGTCTGCTAAGAGAATAAATTTGAAACTTATGCGGTTGGATTCGAGGGAGCTTTTTAGAGTCTGAAAATACTTGAACTTTGTCATTAAAAGTGGTTTATCTCGGTCACCATTTTCCTTGAAAGTAATTAAGTTTTTTTTCCTCTAGTAAAATGTAATAATCCATTTGTAGTGAAAGTTCCTTAGACTGGCAGCTGCAGCTAATCTCATGGAGTCAGTCTTGTTGGAGTGATGTTATTTGATTTCCACTAGCGGTATGAGTAAGCTTGCTGGAGTGATGGATACTCAAATGCTCCAGGACATAATTTCTAGTAGTCAACTGCCAAACAAATTGGTGAGACAGCCTCAGCTTTGAACACTTGCAGTGCTTGTGTCCCAGAACACTGACTGTACTCACCCAAGGCAAATTGAGAGCTCTTTGTAATTTGTAGCAAGAAGCTTTTGATTCTTTTTTCTACAGTCACAGGCCTTCCAATATTGTTTTTTTTCTTTTTTTAGTTTTAAAAAAGCTCTCACTCCTGTAAGATAACCTTGTAGGTTCCAGTGACAGTTCTAAAAGCAAAGTCTTGCACAGCTGACAACAGAACCTGTTCGTGCTATGGGGATGGAACTACTGAAACTAAGCCCATAATGAGATTTCTGTAGCATTAGTCACACACAGAAATCTTTGTCGTGGCAGTGACTGCTCTGAGCACCAGGGTAGATGGTGTTCGCTATTTACTGCCCTGCATGTCGTAAGGGAAGATATATAGTGGGGGAGAGTGTATTTGTGAACATATTCTTGCTGGTTGTTAACCTGCAAGGCTTTCCTTAAGCATTTAAGCTTTGACGTGAAAACCTGTGCTGTAGCCATCCGACTGACCTTACGACCATAACCTTGGTAACTGCTTTTGTTTTCCAGGGTGATGTTTTCAAAACCAGGGGTGGTGGACAGGCTGTTCAGTTCACAGAGATTGAAACTCTGAAGCAAGAATCTCCAACTGGGTGAGTTGTAGTCTTAATTTTAGGTTCTGACGCTGTGGGAGATACCTAACTCCAACAGTGTGTGCTTCTGGTCCGGAGGATTGAACAGAAAGTTGCATCGAACAAAATTGTATAAAAGTAACTCAGAGAGGCTTTTAGATACTGTAGCTGTTTATAAGGCTGCTCAGAGCAAAGTACTTATTCAGAAAGCATAAAATGTATTCTCTTGTTTGTGAGAATCTGCCAAAGTAGGTGGGGCTTGTAACTCTTTCCCTATGCTCCTCTTTCAGTCGAAAGCGAAGATCATCACCTTCCAATGCTGACCCACCTGAGGGTGCTGCAGACTCGGAATGGACTGATGTAGAAACCAGAGTAAGCTAAAAAAGGAAGAAAGGGGCCATCTTGTGCTGGATCTGGCTGAGAGTTGGGGTAGTGTTGATAGCTGGGTGGGGGTGAGCTGTAGAGACTGACCTTCTGTGTCTTCTCAGTGTTCTGTGGCTGTGGAGATGAGGGCGGGATCAGCTCTTGGACCTGGATATCAGCATCATGCTCAGCCCAAGTAAGTGCATCTCCCCTTTGTAGCTGGGGTGTTGCATTCTCTTCCCTGGTACATCTGAAGCAAGAACTCTTTACCCCCCCGCTTGACTTTGCTGTTCTTCCCACTGTGGGTTTGGGGCACATACCTCTCAAAAGATAAGCAGGCCTAGTCAGTGTGGGAAGCTGGTGACAGAGTAGATCTGTAGCAGACTTCAAGCAGAATTATTAACTTGTCTTCTGGTAAAACTGTCGTTTGATGTAGTGAGCAGAATGTCAGATTTGATTGTGTGCTCTCTTTAAGCTCTCTGTAAGGCTGCAAAAAAACTGGGAACTAGGATGCCTGGCAGATCTGGAATGGCATCGGGTCAGGGATGGCAGTGACAAAGTACGAAGCTGTATCCCTCTTCTCCCTGCCCCCAGCCTTTAGCAGGTGCTGATGCAGTAAAATAGATTGATTTTTATATCTTCAGATAATTTTAATCTAAAAAAGGTTACAAATACCTTAGTATTCATTTCAGTGTAGCTTAGGGAGGAGGAAACTGTAGGATATACCTAATGATATACTTGAATGTAGCTCCTATTCCAGCTGCTACCTGCTGTGTAATTGTCAAGACACCTGTAAGGAAGTGAGGGCTCTAGTCATGCTAGAAGAAGTTCCTTTCTTGCCAAGGCACAGATAACATTCTGAATTCTTCAGGGCTGTCTCATCATTCTTTAACGTGGTGGGATCTATGGTGGTTACGTGCATAAACACAAGCTTACCGAAGCGGAAGGCCCAATTTAGCAAAAAGTCCAAGTGATCCAGTGATTTGTAAGGCTCGTACCCAACACCTGAGCATCCATGTCTAACATAACACTTCACTGACAAAAGATATGCTTCAGATAAGAAAGCTTTGTTAAACTAGGTCTTGCAGAACAGAATTCAGTATCCAGATTTGGCCTCTTATAGGTGCTGGCGGTGCTGTGGAAGTCACTTGTTCAGCTCAGGGGAAGAAAATTTGCAGTTTTGTGAGACAAGTTTATAGGTAGGAGGGGGCTGGAGAAGTAGAGGTTTCTGTGAAGCCAAAATCAGCTAAACTTACTGCATTTGGAATCCAGAGAGCTTAGAACTGTGGTGGAAGAGTGTTTTGGAGAGTGTCTGAAATCAGTAATCCCCCTTTCAGATAAGATGACCAATATGTGCCTTTCATACACTTTATAACATTTCTGAGTAACTGGGACCTGCTCAAGGTGGCTGCTGTTACTTGCAGCCTTCCTACAGCCTTGTGATATTGTAGTAAATCCTTTAGTTTTCCTGTATATTGAGCTGGAGCTTCTGTTTATTTTAATTTATTAAATAATTTAAATAAAATTTTGTTTTATGCTCATGGCTGGCTAAAAAAGAAAGTAAAATATAAGTGTTTCTTGATAAGCAAGCTCTTTAGTTGTGTTGTCACATTTTTAGCATAGGAGGTATGTGAGATGTATACAGCAGAATAGGTAAATAGGCTATTGACTGCTGCTAAGGAAAACTGCTGCTGTGTAAAATCTGAAAGTTATTTGTGGCTTTTTTCTTTTTTCAGGCGAAGAAAGCCATGAACTTAACTTACTACTGCGTTGGAATGCTCTGATTTTTATCAGACTGATACCAGTGATGAACTCGATAAACTGCTTTTTTATCACTACAGGCTTTATATTTTTCGAATGGCCTGTGCTAGGCAGTGGTTAAGTGGGAGCTATTTCTTGCGATCCCAAAGCAGCATGTCTGTGGTGTGTATATTTTCAGTAGATGTAGAGGGGTTCTGCCGCTGTGTCCTCTGGACAGCTGAAGGACACCTTTCATCCCGTGTTTATGAAGCCTTTGTTATTAAGCTGTATCTTTATATACTAATGAGACAAGGCTTTCACCTTGTGTATATTTTTCAGCTTTTTATAGTGCAAAATACTTTGAGTCACTATCCCTTCCTTGTCAGGTCCTCTGTTTTGAAGAGGCATCAATGCTGCTATTTATTTAGATGCAATAACAAACTTTAAGAGTGTTTCTATGCCATTTCATATTTTATTATAACTAGCAACAGCTTGGTAATATGGATTTCTTTTTGGAAGAATTACCTTTTATTTAATATGCAAATCAGCTTGTGAAAACATGCATCTTCAAACCTTCATAGTAATGAAGCAAGAATACTGATATGAAGAGTAATGGTGACTTGACATCAGACCTACTTTATTTTGTAGTGCAAGTAAATAAATGTTTTACATCTGTAGATATGGGGTAAAAAGGTAATTTGCTCACAGATGTGGCGACTCTATATGTGTGGCTCTGCAAATATGTTAAAATAAATACTTTTTTTTTTAATTCAATGTCTCTGACAAACCATGTTCTTGTTATTTAGGGGTATGCTAAGTTACAGAAACTAAAGTAGGCACCACAACATCTTGGCTGTGTCCTGTGCAAGGAGCTGTGAATGAATGCACCTTTTGGGATACTTCTGAAGCTTAAACCAAGGAGTCTGCTTGGATCACAAGGCAGTGTTTTGGATAAGCTTATCTTTGTGTCTGCCAGTTGCTTTTGAGGGCAGTTGGTTTCATTTTGAGTGACTGTATTGTTAAAAGATGTCAAAGCTTTGAGCTTTTTCCAGTATAAGAAAAAGCTTTTGTGACTGTTTAATTTATTTTTTTTTAATAATGCCTAGGGACTACCCTTAAATTTTTTTTAAGGATAAAAGGGACCAGTATGGGTCCCTGTAGCTGGTACAACCCAATTATTTTCAGGTGGTCCATGAAAAGGCTTATATTGTAAAGAAACACCATCTTTTCCACAGGTCCTGGCCCATAGTTGGAGCAGAAAGCTCTGGTAAGCCTTAGCATTCTCCTAGCTGAGAGCAGGCTCGAGCACACTCGAAGGTGTGGGGCAGAGCACAATTACTCTGAAGCAGGCAGTGCGGCTTGATGGTTTCATAGGCTTTTGCCTTGGCCTGGGAAACAAAAAATCCTCCAAGCCGCGGTGGGCAGCCACGCTGCTGGGGCGGCATGGTGAGCTGATGCCACTAGATGGTGTGAAATAGCCGTCAGGGCTGGTGCTGGGTCCCTCCCCGCTGCCCTGCTGCAGGGAGGCAGGCGCTGTGCTGCCTGGGGCAGGGAATTCCTCCTTCCTACCCACCTCCCCGACTCTTGGGGGACCTCCGAGCCACGGAGGGTGTTCCCCACGGCCACACATCTTCCTGCCTTTTGCTGCTACCCCATGGGGGGGTAGGGATAGGAAGGGCAGCCAGCAGAAATAACACAATAAGCTTAAATAAGGCTCATGCTCCTATTTCTGTCTTTTAAATCGCCTCCTTCACATACACTGGAATAATTAATCTACTATTACTGATGCAGAAGCTGTCAAAAGCATTACCTCTTTGATTTGGATTCATCCTGTCATGGGTGTGTGTCATATTGAAAGTGTTACTGGAGAAACCCGGGAGGGAGACATGAGAAATGGATATTCAGGGCTTTGTAAAGGAAAAATATTTAGCTACGGAATGGGGCTTTGGGTCATTCCAAAAGCGATGTGAAAGACATTCTGAGTTGGCTCTCAAAATGCTGATTTTCATATCACTGGTGGCAAAGGACACATAGCTAAAGTGTTTTTATCTCTGTCCTTGCCTAGTTCTGTTTTGACATGTAATGTTTTGCAAGAACTTTGCTTGGAAATACCTTGTTTTGGAGGAGAAAGCTGTTAAGCACAAACTGTTGCTGTAGCCACTTATAATAAAGGTTAATCAAGAGCACAAAGATAAGGCCCTGCTAAGGAGGAGATCTGTCCTTGCTGGTTCTGTGAGGAGGGTGTCAATGTGGTAACAACTTGTCTCGAGTTGGTGACTTGTTTTTCATGAGCCTCCACTGCCACCGAGGTCTGTCACGGAGCAAACTGTGCTGCAGGGGCCTTTGAGCAGAATTGAGGGGCAGGGTGAAGGCTGGGCACCTCTCCTCTCCTCATCACCTCTGCAGCCAACACAGCCCTCCTGTTTCTCCCTCCTGTCTTAACCAGTTACGTTTTTAATTACTCGAATGCAGTTGTTGCCTCCCAAGATGGGTGCCATAGAGAACTGACGATTGGAAGCTACTGAGCAAGAAGGTTTGTGAGCTGCCCCAGGTCCGTGTTTGGAGAGAAATGGGACTTAGGTGGGGCCTCGGGCCCCTTGGGGGGAGGTTACAGCCTGGTAGCTTGAGGGAGGAGAAGACACAGTGGACCCTTGCAGCAGTGATGGTGGGAGGAGCTCAGTGTGCCCATTGGGCTGTTTCCTAGCCCGGATCTAACAAGTTTTTTCCATCAGCAGAGCTGCATTGGGTGCCACCCGATCACATTCCTCTGAAGCCTTTCTTGGTGTCTTTGCATCTTCTTCACATATTTACTCGCCTGCATAGTACTGGCAGTGTTTACTCTGTAAAGACTCCTCTAAGACTCAGCTAAGCACACAATTTACTCAGCTAACAAGGGCTGGCATTTATTGTGGGTATCTCTGTGTGCTTGTCGTTCTTCAGTCTCCGTTGACATTCAGTGGGAAGCGTTAAAACAAACAGCAGCGCGCCGTAGGAGGGCTGCCCGTGCCACGGCTCCTCTGGGAAGGAGCTGCACGAGGCCGCCCGCTCGACGTCGGCCAGAGCTGCCTCCTGCCAGTCTGCTGTCATTGAGGATGGAAAACCCTTTCTGAAGCAAGTGGGCTTTGGGGAAAAATTTTCATCTTGGAAATTCAGGGGTTTTTTTTCTTTGTAGTGTCTTTATACCTTCCTTTATTTTCCCCTTGAGCTTTGCACTGATAGCAGCTAACGCTTCCCCGAAAGGTAGTAGCCCTGTGGAATAACTCAGAGTTCAAGCTTCAAGTGGGCAAGTTTTGGGGGGGGGGGGGGT